CATCTCATCAACCAAAAAGGGCGCAAGAGAAATGATTCGGGGCATGGCTCAAGGGGAGCAGGATGGTTGGCAACCATAGTGTTAGGAAAACCAGGTTGAGTTGGCGAATGTATATGGCTGTCAAATAGATAGAGGCCATCGCTCGGTAAGCCATTTGGAGTGAAGTTCGCACCCGTCGGGGTTGGTAGAATAGGGACCGTCCCAGTTGCCATTCCTTTCTGAAGATCCAAAGTCGGAAACATGCTGCTTGACGGTGTGCCAGGCGAATCCGCGGTTAGATCGGGGGCTGGTACTGACACATTTCTTACTCGAAATGCTTTCGAACTTGCGTTTTGCTTCCCCAGGTTGTCGGGCGCGGAAGGCACCTTTCCAATCGCCCGTGTCGGTGACAATATTGTCGAAAGCCCAGTACTTATGTCCTCTTCATCTTCTTGAGTTATGGCTTTGCTTAGGCCGATGCTTGTCGATGTTCCCTCGATAAGGGATCCAATAGACGCGTTTCGGTCGTCTGAATTCATGCCAGGACGCAATGCGGAAGCCGGATCCAGATTCTGATTCACATTGTTTGGCAGGCTTGTCTGGGGCTCACCTTTCGGAGGCGGCACAGGTCGGCTGGTCAACTGACTGGTTGATAATTCCAAAGCCGAAGCGTCAGAATCATCCCTTAAACGGGCGCTTGTATCGATCGTCAATTCTTTCGAATCCCGGCCCGACAATCTTCGTTCTCGCACGCTTGACCCGGATGACAAGTCGGAAGTTGTGGACGAAATTGCTGGAGCAGGTTGTGCAAGGGGTAGCGTGTTTGATTGTCTTTTAGCTGCCGCCGATGTTAAGACCTTGTCTTCTGCAAGCGTAGAAAGGGCCGCTCCGGCCGTTGTGTTATTGGAGGCTGCGGAGCTTTCCCAAGTTCTACCAGAAAAACTGCTTGAATCCGATTGTCTAGGGAGGGCAGATTTAGACTGAACGTCAAACTCGAAGTCGTCCATGACATAACCCATAGTCATCTCTTCAAGTAGACGCTCCTCCTCTTCTGCCTCCTCATCAAGATATTCCCGATCAAAGTTCTCGGTTTGGTCAAGCATAGCATGTTCTTGAATACGGTGCATCTCTCGACCGCGAGTCATGGCGACTTCTGCTTCTCGCTCTGCTTCTCTGACCTTTTGCTTCGCTAATTCAACATTTCTGCGTGCATTGGCCATTATATCGTCAGCAGCATTGTCGTCATCTATATCTATTGCCGGTTCTAAGCCTTCATCATAAGCCGCCTCGACCGCCGCATCTAAGGCAGCATCAAATTCCGCTTCGGTACCACGGCTAAGGAGGCGACTCATTCGTCGTCGTAAATACGCAGACGACCTTTTAGAGCGCAAAGAAGACGGTGAAGAGGCGCCAGATTCGTCAATTGTATCGAGCCAGGACGTTGACTCGTTTGTATCCTTCACCTCCATCCCAGGCAACGGCAGCTCAGAATAATGGGAAAGATAGGCCTGGTTGCCTTCTATGTCTGATGCCATAGAGAGATTTTGTGTGGGGGAAAGTGTGAATGATGAACCGCTATCCGCTGCGTGATTTCTCCCTTCCCAATTTCCATCTCGAGATTGCTGCCACGACGATTGGGACTGCGGGCGGTTGTATTGCCCTCTGGATTCCAGGCTATCATTAAATGCAGAGGGCAGTAAGGACTGGCGCCTTGGTGGGATTTGGTCAGAGGCTAGCGTTCTTCGCTCCTCTGAGATCTCATTATCACTATAAAGTTCAGACGGATGCTGCCGAGGGCTTATACTATTACCAGAGAGCTTTTCATCATAATCCTCTTCACGCGGGTGAAACAAGTCATTATCAGACTCCTGGCTGAGTGGACGTTCAGGGAGGGCTTTGCCGCCGGATCCCCGAAATGAGAAGTCCATGCGCTCCAGTTCAGTAACTCGAATCATATAGGTATCACGCTATGGGAGTTAGTCTATGAACGATGATTCTCGCTATCAAATGATGATTAGGGGGAGGCATACGATTTCCTGGAGCTTTAGCTTCTCATCTTCGCCCCCATTGCTACGGAGCATTACCAATTGTAACAAGTAACAGGCATCATTATATGCGTCCATCGCTCCTTCAAAATTCGCTGCATTGTCAAGGAGCACGGCCGTATTTGCTTTTTGGAGAGCTTTTGATAGCATCGTTTTTTGGGACTGGCCTCGCTGATGTTTACCCTTGTATGCTTCTGTTTCCGCAAACGGAGATGAGTTTTCTTCAGTCGATGGGCTATTTGCTGCCATTTCTTTGCTATATGTCTGCGATGTAGGGCTGGTGCGGTGACTAGGCGTATCAACTTCGGAGCTATTCAGGCCAGGGCCCTGGTCCTTCTTCCACGGATCGTGGAACAAACTCGCAAAAGTTGAGGTAGACTCGGCAGACGCTTGGGCGGATCGTGATGGTGCGGTGTTCGGGATATTAATGGTGGGCTGCACACCCGATTCAGGACGGATATTGCTATATAGCTTCGCAGTATGATTCTCTGCTAGTTGGTCGCTGGCGCTCACGGATATGTCAACAATTTGGTGTGAGTGTTGAAAAGGGATATTCCTTGTCGAGCTCACGTGGCCTTCGGGAGGATTAAGATCGTCGTAATCAGATATTCTAGAGCTTCCCCGATGATAGCCAGCGTAGCGGGGAGGGCTCTTATTGGAAGCAGTTGACTGGGACCAGCGATTCAAACTGCCCAGGCCTTCTCGAACGGCTCCGGTATCAACTGGACTAGTCGGCGGCGAGTTGGCTCTATGTGCCGACACTAACCTAGAAATCGACGGTGTTGTTGTACCCAATTTCGGTTCTAAAAACACATATCAGCTTTCTTTGCGAATCAGAGTATAGCGAGGAATCGCTCTCTCATACTGTACGGAGATGTACGATCTGGCGACATATGTCTGGATGGATTCCTTTGGTAGATAATACCGACTGCATCTGCTGTAGTCGTAGTTGTATGAAGATTTAAGGTAGGGCGGGGAAGTCGGCGTGCTCAGTATTATATTCAAGCCCTTGGTCTAGCTGCAATAGCTGCAATATATCGTGCAAGTCAAACTCTCGGCGAAAAAGGCCGTGATGCGTGGATAGAAGAATGATCCGTCTTATTCTTCGAGGAAAGATAGGTCAACGAAGGCGGGGGGTGCATCAAAAGGAGTCGTAAGAATATTCGCATGGGATATTGTCGGGTCGTCTGGCTGTCCCTATCGGCCACAACTTGCTTCAACGCATTGTTTTCCGTCAAACTCTGCAAATGTCCCGAGTAATATCTAATAATGAAGGCGCATCCTTCTTGCAAACGGGGTGAGCATCGGCTTCGTTTGATCTCGTTTAATCACAACCCATAATAAGCAAAATTCCATGCAGTCAACCGATTCGATCCTTGGTGGAAGGACAATTGCCAATTCAGTTTGACCCTAAAGAGAACCGGCGATGCTTCTCCTCTCTATTATCTCCGGGTCAAGCGCGGAAAGACAGCGGGGCTCCAGTTGCAAACAAATTGACGTCTGTTAATGACTGATTAGGTACATTTGCGCCCCTATACCCCAATGTCTGGGGAGGATGAAAATGATCAGTCTCAGAGTCTCCCAGTGGATAAAAGTGCCGGCAAAAAAAATCACAGGTGGTGATAATGATGGGATCAGGGGTGGTCCGTGGACAGGCCCAGTGCGGACGTACGTACCAGTCTGTACTCCGTGGTCCGGTCAGGGGAGTGTGTGCGGGGTGGCTAGGGATAGCACCCACGAAGAATATTGCACAAGGCTTGGGGGGAGAAAAAAAAAAAAAAAAAAAAAAAAAAAGCCAATTTTCAACTAAATGAACAATAATGGAAGGAGGTGCAAAACAATAGCTATACAGATTGAATTCCCAAAAAGGAGGATTGCAAAAAGACCCTGGGTACTCTGTACACAGTACGGAGTACTAATACAGCATACTACTGCTATGGTACTTGGTACACTCTGTACTATGTATCGTACTATGCCAGTGTACAAAATATTATTGGAGCAACTAAAGGGAAAAGGGGTATTATTCCTGTTAGTGAGGGCTGCAAGGAACCCACCCCATTTTGTATACAGTAGTCACGGAGCAGATCATATCAACCATGTAGACCAATTAGAAGTTACATAGGTACAGATAATTACATACAAGTATGTATTAATACAAGTACAGTATTGTGTACCACACTCATCACCCAGGTGCATTTACGTAGTAGTATGTATTACTGAGTGGGATATTTCGATTAAGCTTCATGATATTCATCTTTATGGCCTATTTAACATGCAGTTGTTCCGTGCAAAAGACTCGACATGCTTTGTAATACTAAAGTACCAGTTAGTTAGTTTTCCTAAAACCTCCGAAGTTCGGTACAGAGTAAAGTACAGGTAGGGCTGTCTCACTTTTTACACATACTCCGTACCAACAAACTATTTCTCTTCCCAGGTGCCAATGATAAGTACACATGTTCTCCGTAGCTATCTTAACTTCATGGTCGCTTGCTCTCCTGGTACTGTCGATATGCTCATTCGTGTCCTAGGAATCTTTCATGCATGCAGTCTATCCTTCTCATATTATATACCTTGCAGCACCAGATAGGAAAGTCAGCAGCCAAGGACAATTTCTATTTTGCTATTGATATATAAACATGTTCTGTACTATCCGCGCTCCAACAGCATGCTTGTCATCCTATGTTTGGCAGACCAATCAGAAGCCGTGCAGAAACAATATGATGCCGAAATGAGATTGGGTAAACATGTTGGCCAGGAAAATGTTTGCACAGCATTCCACCAAAACTATGGACCAGATAATCAAAGGTGTTCTGGTTTAGGTCGTAATCAAGAGAACTGCGACACTCTTTTTTTCAGGGCTACAGCCCAACTATGCCTTGGCCTGGCATAAATACACAGAACGCGGGCTTCCATGACATGTTATATCTTCTTCAAGAATCACAAGGCCGATATACCTTCGATGAAAGAAGAACAAGACTGGCAGACTTATGAATTATGTATTATAATATTAACCGCAGAGAGAAGCCCTGCAAGGACCAAGAGAAAAGGCAGTGTAGCTAGCTCCTTGCAGTTTTATAGTACAGAATTCATTCCTCTTCCTCTTCGTCGCTTGTAGCCTTATTGTTCTTCTCAGGGTTACCACCAGGTTCGCCCTGATCCCCATCGTCACATCCATTAGACTGACCAGCTGTATTGTCATAGTTCGGGCGTGGAACTGACTGCCCATTCTCCCTGAGCAAAGCTTCAATACCTGGAAGTAAATCGACGAATGCTGCATATTGGTCCATCGGCATGGAGATGCCCTATGATGAAGAAAATACATGTGAGTAATTGTCAATTTATAGCTGTGTATAGGATATTCAGCGAAGGGCAAAATGCAACCTACCTTCTTTCCTGGGAACTCTTGGCCATCTTTTTCATAGTATTCTCTAATGTTGACCATCGTTTTCCCTCGAAATGTGGATATGGTGACGCGACGCATTTTGGATATTTCCCAGTACGGGTCCCCGTTAGAATCAATTTTGGGAGAATCAGGGGCAGCATTATTTTCTGTCATCTCAGTCTTCATCCTCTTTGTGTTATCCCCGTCATCGACAAAGTCGTCAGTTGACGTTCGCTTTCTGGAACTGAAAGCCATAATGAATGAGAAAGCCCCCAAGCAAGAAGAATAAGTCCTAACAAATACCGTTGTCGGGTATTACTCTTTCAATTAATGGGTTGAATTTGAGGTCAATGACTTATCAATAACTGCCAGGACGCGTTCCGCGTAAACTCACGTGAAGATAAGATAGCACGGTAGCATATGATATGATGGCACAAGTATTGGTCTCAGAGGAGATAGCAAGGGTGCGTGTTTCTTCATATGAAGTGCGATGAGTGTTGTCTAGATAATCTGTTGAATAAATAGGGTTCCATCCCAATGTGTAGATATCTAGCGTTATTTGATGCCTAAGTCAAGGCCACTTCTATACACCAATTCTAATCAAACTATGTTTAAATAATGACAGCCCTCAAGACCTGCAGAAGAATCGTGAAGACAAACCCACGGGCAATGGTCTCGACTTGGAGGCAATCAAATATCTTTTCAAGTGCTTCTCGGCTAGCAACCGCTCCCATAACGCTTGTCAATGCCTGTGGCAGCCCTTTCTGAACGAGAAGCTTCCGTGCATTTTCTCGTAAACGTTCCTTTTCGTCTTCAGAAGGTGGTGGTGGCCAACTCCTCATCTCGATTTCTGTCGGAAGGGCATTCTCACGAAGTTTGGTAAGATATGTCCCTATTGTTTCATCTGACGTGTTCGCATTGATCATTGAATCCTGAAGAAGGATTCGGATCGTTTCCAAAGTTGGGCTTCCGGGACGGAGAATGTAAGATTTTGCAGCATTCAGAAGCGTCCGACGAATATTCCAGGCGGACGATAAAGTATATAGCTCATTTATAACAGCAAATATTAGCTCCACTGCTATTTGGGTTTCCTCATTCGTAATCGCCTTATCTACCAACGCTCCTGCAGCTCTTATATCAGGGGTTGCTTGCTGATGAGAGTCCATCACTTCAGCCTGCCGGTATTGGGAACCTATCGCTGAGACTTTTTGCTCGAGTCCATGGGAAGGAGACTCATTCGACGGGCAGAAGTTACTCGAAAGCGGATTGACTCCTGCGTCTAGCCCATCAGCTGCCAAGCTAACTGCACTACCCACAGCTTCAGTTGACCTGCCAGAGCGAGCGTTTTGAGAGAGAGAAGCATCGTTCGAGGATGAAAAGCTAGAACAAGAACTGCGCGTTGAAGGATACTTTTTTCCGGTAAATTGAACTGGTGATGTGTGATGTTTGGAACCCGAGGTCAAATCAAGCGAGATCTTCCGAGCCCCCGAGTTTCGTGCTTGTTCTGTTTCAGCAGGGAAGGGCTCATTTGATTCAAAATTTCTCGCCTGGTCAGCAAATGAACGAGATGTTCGTTTGCCGTTACCTCCAACGTTGCCAAATACCCCAGTCACACCGCCTAAGACAGCTTTGCTCCCCCCAGCAACGCCCTTGGGCGCGTTAGCTAATGCGCCTAAAACACCCTTTCCCACGTTTTCAAATGTGGCTTGGCTAGGGAAAGAAAAACCTGTTCTCGTAGATGACCCTGCAGGATCGGTTCCGAGACGATTATCCTTATCAAAAAAACGCTTCATCTTTTCGCTTTCTGCGAGGGACTCGTGTTGAAGAGCATCTTTCAAATATCGCGCCAATTCTTGTGCCAATGCTTGTCTCGTATTCCCTTTCCATGTTGGTAAAGTAGTATGCGTCTCTGTGAAACTCCAAAGTTTGTTCAACCTCGAAATGGCTTCAAGAGTCTCATGTAGAGATTCAAAATCAGCGTATTTTTTGAATGTCATCCAACCGGAGAATCGTGTAGATGTCGGTTCAACCTGGATCAAATAGTTTGACGTAGGCTTCGACCGGATTAATGTCTTTTCTCCGGGCTCCGATTCGACATTCACAGATACGAAAGCTCCATGAAGAATCAAGGTAGGCTCTTGAATGATTTCTGATGTAGACCTTGACGAGCTGGGAATAGATGGGGAAGATGAAAACCGCCGCTGTTTCCTTTGGAACAGAGACTCACTCGTATCAAGTATATGCTTGTCATTTCTGCTGACCGAATCATCAACTTGATCAAGCGCCTCAGCAGAAGAACTATCATCGGTGCCATCTGGAACCGAATCTCGCCGGTCCTCGTTGATTGTTTGCTGCAGATCTTGCCTCTGTGAATCCTGCGCTGCAATCATGGCACTTAGACGCTTTGCTTCTTTAATTGCTTCTTCCGTTGCCTTATCTGAGTGGTTGCTCTGCCCCCCAGTTGTTTGTGGCAGCACCTGAGGGTCGTTTTCGACGCTGCCCGCTGTGTTCATGTCTGAAGTGTTCTTCAAATCAGAACCCTTTGGTGCAGTCACGCCCTGGCTCCGGGCCCCTTCAACGCCGGCGTCGATTGCGTTCATTATTTCGGATTCACCCTCGCTCAAGAGATGGATTATCCATCCGTTGATGAATTCTGGGCGCGAGAAATTGGACATCATGGATTGAAAGATAACACCGGCTAATACCTCGCGGAGGAAATCCCTGAGTATATAGCAGCTATATGCTTTTTGGTCGAGAAAACTAGACAGGATATCATCCGCAATCATATTGAGTTTCTTGCGCTGCTGCTGATCTGCCAAAACATTGGCTAGGCTACTTTCAGGGAACAATTCTAGATATCGGCTGACCGTCTGTTCAGGTGCTGCAGTCGAACTTGTCGTTTCAAAAGCCGTGGACAATTCGTTTAAGAAGACAATAATCATGGAGGACGAGTTCGTGAGGAATGCTAAAAACGTGTCTGCTGTTCGCTTACGCGCGAGGTGGGATGATATAGAAGTAATAAAATCGGCCAACATCCTCCGGCACGAGAGAGGAAAGCTCGACTCGGACGGTAGAATCGGTTCGTACCAGTAGCTTTTGTTTTGTATTTCCTGGTCAGTCGTGGTGACGGACGTCAAATGCGATGGAAGCTTACTTCACGTAATCCTTTACTATCGAGTCCGTCAACGACACCAAAGCTGCAGCTGTCTTTGGGCGAAAAGTTGAATAGTCCGAGTTCATAGTCGGTTCCCTTGCGACTTCGGATGATCTGTGCTTCGGCCAGTCGAGCAGTCTGTTGGCCAAGTGCAACGTAAGCTCCCTTCTACGGGCAGTTGGTATACCTGTTTCTTGGGCAGAATGTTCATTGCCCCAGCCTTCCCATGAAGCATGTAAGATGACGCCGAGGACAGTTCCAATTAATATAAGCCCGAGCCTTCCCAATAGGATATACGTCGCAACCATTAAACATGCAAAAACGCAAAGCAACGCTTCGTTGCTAGACGTCGAAAGAAAACGGAGAATATAATTGAGAAGGTCATTCGACTGTGCAGGAGAAGCGGCATTTTTGGAGCTATCATGCTCATGTTTCATTGAGGGTGGCTTCCCCAGACGCTGGAGCTCGGTTGCTCGTGGAGAAGCAGCCGCATCATTGAAATTATTCATGATGATTCCATGAAAAGAGATGAAAGAGGAATACAATATGTGCAGTATTGGCGGATGAGTAGGAGACTAGAGGGGGGAAAGATGAGAGACACAGGGAACCAAGTGTTAATAATGTTTGATGGTGGTTGTTGTTGTTATCTTCGCCCCTGTGTACCGTGTTATGAAAACAGAACCGAGGCTAGCTTAGTAGTATAAATCCAAATAGCGCATCCACCCAAAAACAAAATTGTTAGATATTGCAGTTAAACCAGAATAAGCTTTTCTTGTAGTAAATACACAAACCTGCATGTGTAAGGTGGAGTGGCGTAATGAATACTAGTACACATAGCTACTTGTAGTAGCACCATGAAAAAAAAGGACCAATTACCTACACATAGTAGTATGTATGGGGTATATTAATGTGAAAGGGAAGCTCAGCTTCTCAACAAAATACTCCGTACAGAGTACTGATTGTATGAATACAAGATACTAGTTCAATGCGTAGAACCCCACATCCCGAGAAAGAGAGCCGGGAAAAAAAAAAAAAAAAAAAAGATAATAATAATACTAATAATAATAATCATAAATTATGTATCCATTCATAATTTCCTTGCCTCACAGTCTGTCTGACAAGGAATCTAAAGCTATAGTTGAATGGAATTATTCTCCGCTATCCGAGTGAATCCGGGCATTCAAAGAAAATGCTATCCATGCCAGATGCAAAGAAGATAGCGGGTCTCATAAGCTACCCTACCCTACGCAGAAGGCTTCCTGGAAAGGTCTCCCAACTATAAGCCGTCAAAGTTATTGGGTTTTGATGTATTTCGTATGGGATCCCCGCGCAACTATCGCCAGTTCGCATGCGCTGCCCTTTTTCAAGATACTTATGGTTGTAAACGCAAGGTTTTTTCCAACCTTGTCGGCACGACCTTCAATCTCGAGCCAATCATTGGTCGTTGCTGCAGAAAGGTAGCTGACATGAATATCTGCGCTGACACCGGTTGAATCCAGACCACAAGATGCAATGGCCAATCCACCGGCCCAGTCCGTGACACAAGCAGAAAAGGCACCATGCAGAGTCCCTTTCGAGTTAATATGTTGAGGTGCTACCTGAAGTCGAGCACGCACAACGCCATTTTCAGCATGATAGATTTCGACCTGGTCAAGAAGGAAGGCGTAAATAGGACTGTTTGTGCGCATACGCTCCCACACTTTGTGAACGTGCTGAAGTTGGGAGTCCATGTCAAATGAGGCGAGCCTTGGATACTTCGCAATGTACTTCGAAAGAAGGGGATCAATGGCATGAACAATGCGAGAAAGCGGTCGTCTTTTTTTCTGTGGTCTCGGTTATGGGCTTAAATAGTGTGCCCGCTAACCTCCTTTAGGAACATTATTCCGGTCTACTCCGGAGTAACATCAATAACTAATGTATTCCACGGAGCAGCGCACCCTGTATTCCCACATAAATGCGCAACTTTTGAATGCTTATATCTCAACAACAGCTGAAATATATGGAAGTGTACTAAAAATATTCCTTATTTACCAGTATACAAAAAGGCTTAGGCTATTGAAATTCGAGACTTGCAAATAATTGTCTTAAATACACATTATATCATAAAATACAGCGTAATTAATATTAACTTAATGATTAAGCTATAACATTCTGCAGAATTCAGTATACATAATATCTATAGTGTACAATTGCACCATATACAATATCATACAAAAATTTCTTAAATTGGTGGAGATGTGAGCATTCAAAAGTTGCGCATTGATATGGGAATATATGGTGCACTACTCGCCCGTGTGCGCCGCTCGCCCGTGGAATAACTACGTTAATTAGTTAACGTATTCCACGGGCGAGCGGCGCGCACGGGCGAGCGGCGCGTTTTCCCCACGACCACCAAATATTCAATCATCAACATGCTTAAAAGTTTGAAAAAATCACTAAATTAAGACTATCTAGTAATTGAACATGTAGCTATTTACTAGGGCAACTGCGTATAATATGTCCAATAGTCCCACAGCCACTACAGCGTGGTGGAGCTCGCTGGCGTGGCCGTTGAATATCTGCTTCGACCTCTGCTTCAACTGCTCTATCAAGCTGCTGAACACGCTCCTGACCTTCCTGTATAGATAGCATAGTATCTTGACCTAGGTTACCACGCCTGCGTGCTTTCTTCATCATCTTCCGCTCATTCTCTGCCCGTAGAACCTTGATTTCTTGGTGAAGAAGTAGATTCATATTCATTGCCATCTGTGCAGATTTCTCAAGATGTTGAAGGTGAGATACAGGGCTGCTCGACAGCTGTCTTTTCTTATTAAGACTTCTCTGTAGATCGTGGATCTTATGATCAAGTTGGCGAGTATTTTGAGGGGTCTGAAATGCAGATGATATTGACCCTTCAGTCAGAAGTGGTGGTGTTGGCGTATGCAGTTGAAAGGTAATTTTTGAAAGAACCCTTTCTTTATCTAATGGTTTGATCCCTGCTCCAGCAAAGCCACCATAGATATTCTCTTTGGTAAAGACCTTCTCGCGTGCAGATGGATAGAGAGATAGGAAATCATCCTTATCAATATGGTTGTTGCCAGCAATCATCATTCCCTCAACTAGCTTCCCATATGCACGTTTTAGTGGCCCAAAAACACCAACATCTAGTGGTTGAAGAAGATGAGATGAATGAGGTGGCATACAGAGACAAATGATTGCATGCTCTTTGCAGAATCCATCAAACTCTGCACTTAAATGGCTACTATGACCATCAAGTACAAGTAGCCGCTTTGAACCAACTGAATAATGTTTGGAATATGGCTCAAACACCTCTTTAAGCCAGCGTAAGCCTATTATATCAGTAGTCCAGCCATTCTGACTTGTGGCTAGCCTCCAATCTTGAGAGAGGGCTGATTCTTGATACCAAGAGGCTTGATGCTCCTTCCCTTTAAGGATCACAACTGGAGGAATTGAACATCCATTTGACCCTATACATTCAATGATTGTGACCCATTCACGGTTCCCTTGAATGACTGTACGTGGTTGCTCACTGCGCTCGACTGCAGTAATAACTTTAGAGGTTGTACAGAGACCCATTGCAAAGCCAGTCTCATCAAAATTCCAGATATCATCTTCATGGATACCATGCTCTTGAATCGTCTCTAATATCATATTAAACCATTGTTTGATAATCTTTGGATCCTCCTGCTTTGCCCGCTGGTATGGTATTCACTGATTAAACTGTGTTCGCAGTTGTGGATGGCGTCTAATAAAAGCAAATGCCCAGTTGACTCCTATGTTTGGAGTAGAGGTAGGGGTCTGTTTTTGAAGCAGTATCTGGGCCATTTGACGTAGGAACTCCGGACGAATTGCAAAACCACGTTTGTCTGCATTCAGTATTTGCTTAACAAGGACTTCTTCTTGAATAGATGATAATATGTGATTATTTGCACGTGTTTCTGTGCGTGGTTTTCGTCCCTTGAGGCGCTCGCGAAGAGTAGTTTCAGATACCCCAAACACCTTGGCAGCTTCCTTTTTTGATTTGATTTTTTTCGAGTTATAGGCAGATATAGCCATTTGAATGTTAGATTCTTGAGATTTAGGCATTATGGATTGAAATGGTGAAGATATAATGTGTTGAAGGAGGTAGTTAATCGAATATTTGGTGGTCGTGGGGAAAACGCGCCGCTCGCCCGTGGAATACGTTAATGTACTTAGGTTTAGATAATCAAATTTTTGAGTCATGTAGTCGCTAGGATAGAAGGAGAATAGATCCAAGCAATTCCATAAATACCCGACGTTTCGACTGGTAAACACTCACTACCCTATATTATTATATAGTCACGATGTGAGTTAAATATACACAATCTCATTTCACTCCTGGTCCCATATTTCCAAAATGTCGAGTACTTGGCGGAACACTGGCATAGATACATGGCTAGTTCAATTATATAATTCAATAAATCTTCTTCCTTGACAATACCTGTGAGAGTATAAAATGATTAACATCTTCATCTGCCCAATATGTAAGATGACTTGCAATACTGGCAATCAAAGAAATATCGAATGCTCCTCTGCGTTGAAAAATTAGCACTAATAGTCAAACAACCGAGGCGCGTTCTTACTCTTGCACACTGTAATCAACGCGACCATTGGTATTCAATACTCTCACTTTAGCGTCCTCGACCTTCAATTTTCTTGCACGTTCCTCAGAGTCCAGATAACAAGTAGCGTCGTCATCCGTTGAAGTTTGAGACGACTCCCTGCGGCTGCTTCTCGCTTTCTGAAAGCCATCATAAAGTGTCTCCAAGTCAGGTTCTATTAATGTTCGAGGTCGATTCGCATATTCGTGTGAAAAGTCGGAGTCTGTGTTAGCTCTGGAAGGGTCAGTTGCCGGTGAAGATGGAGACTGAGCACCCGCATTTGAAGGTATTTCCTCGGAATTCAATCCTAGGCTGCGATTGAGCAGGCTGCTCGCAACGCCAGATGTAAAGTTGGACCACATAGACCCGACGCTTTGGCCCACACGGGTACCGATAATTGAAAGACTCTGTCCTGATGCCGCCCAAAGACTTTTCTTGACAGACGGCAAAGGCTGTGGCTTGAGTGACGACATTGCTGGTGATATAAGCGGTTCAATACGATAGCTCACAGGATCGGACGGATGGAAGATGTTGTATAATTGTCGACATTTCGGGAAGGATGATATAGAGCATCTTTCGCCAAACCCGCCCCCTATAGAGTGCATGGAGGGAGAAGCTGACGATCCGAAAGTTCCAGGATTATCTTCAGTATTGATTGGTCTTCCGGGGCTTTTGATGGTGCTCATTGTATTTCTTCCGGCGATAGTCCTGCCTTTCAACATTTGGAATAACGCGATTGGCGACCCTAAGCAAAAGAATTCTTCGCATTCAAAGTCCAAGGGGTAATCCCGACGTGGATATGGCGTAGTTCCTCTTTGGGTCCCTGCATTTATTCGTTCAAACGGTTTGGATTCGTCCTGCTGGTGACACAGAATATCAAAGAGGATTGCGCTCCCAAGCGAATGCCCACAGAGACTCACTGAGCCCCTGAAAGACGGATTTCGCTTTTTGAAAAGCTCAAGTATCCGGTTACATTCCTGCTGGACTATGACAGCAATGTGTTCACAATATTCACTTTGGTACAACAATACGTCCATTGCCAAATCGGATATGAGATTTCGAACTGCAGGCACACTCTCAAGCGTGATGTCGTTTAAACTTGGATAAATGTCATCTTCAGGGGCGTCGGCGTCGGCGAGATCAAGCTCCTTGCGATTCTGCCTAACACCACGATAGGGGAAATCCAGTAGATGCCTCCAACATCTAAACTATTATCAGCACGTCAATAAACCCCGGCAGTAGTTTAGTGAATAAAGGGAATGTAAGAAGCATCGAGGAGATCAGGTGGATGATGCAGGGCTCGCTTACACAGGTAATACTTGAATTCGACAGTTTGTAGCATGATCCGGATATGCAGAATTCAAGGCTTGGAGATCTGGTGAGGCTTTATACACACTTTTCATTGTCTTCCGGAGGACATTGACATCATGTATAAAGTTGATGCTCTCCAAACGCAGCCCCAGTCGCTGCCCAATCCCATGTGTCACCAGTATGAGATGATCAACGGTACGCTCCCTATCTTCATTTTCCGCCTCCCTCGAGTCCTCCATTTCCTTTTCTTCTTGTTTACGAGCTTGTTCCTCTAGCTCGGCTGCATTCTGTGGTTCGCCAGCAAGCGATGACATCTGTCGTTCTAAAGTGGACCTTGGGCTCTGTTCGAAGTTGTTCTCGTTTTGATCCGGTTGAGAGGCCTCCGATTCATGTTTATGCAAGAAATTCGTGGAAGATTTTCCGGTTATGTTAAGAGATGGGTCTTCGAACGGCTTTCGCTCAGGGAAGTCTCGTGTCTCTGAATTTTCCTTTTGCTTTTTGGCCTCGGTGAAACCGCGTACTACCCTAGTGCCTGGGATACCACCCAGTGTTTGATAGACAGTGGTGCTCACGCGGGACATAAAATCATCGTTGGTTAACAATGCAGTTGCAGGATCCTGGTATGTAACAATGCTATTCATGTAAGCACCAAACAAGCGATAACTCGGGGATTCGTTGGAAGAAATAGCAGTGGTATGCCCCGACTTTTCAGCACGACCCCGAGGAACATCGGTTTCTGTGGACCGCAATGAACTTGGATCCGGAGTGGAATCTCTTTTCGTGCTGGATTTACCATGCTCATGCTTTGCTGAGGATGTCGATTGGCGGATTGAGGATTCATGTGACTCGTCGAAGCGCCATGGCTTCACTTTTAGATACCCTTCCTCAAGCTGGGTGGCGAGTGTTTCGTTGCATGGTTTAAGCGTTGAACCCTCTTGAAAAAACCACGTCCCGCGTCGAACCTCATACACTGGACCTTCCCAATATGCTGGGCCCAATTCTCTTTTCTCGATGTCCACATCAAAAAGGTAATCTTCGTTGACAGGTACCATCATTGAACTGCCTTGCACCCTACCGGTAGGGTGTGTATATTTGACATCTTCGCGTTCAGCTTCGATTTCGGAGAGCTTCTGAAATGCGACTTCAACGGATTGAGAATCTCTGACCGAGAATGGCACAAACTTCTTGGGCAAGGGTAAAGGCTTCGCACTTCTCCCTCTTTGATTGGATAATGTTGGCTTTCGCTTAGGCGAATCAACTGCATAGAACCACCTTACTTTTAAAGGCGGGCAATCTTTTGGGTAAAAACGTAGGCTTAACCTATGCCTGTGTGTGACAATATGATCTTCTCCCTTTGATCGTTGTAAAACATCTTGATTCGCAGAGTAATCTGGAGTAGACCTAGGTGTCGAGCTCCGAGAATCGCTCCAAGGAGTTCTCGCGGAGGGCGAATCCTTCGCTTTCGCCGAAGTCATTGAGCTTCGATATGCTTGACGATTCAGAGGGTATACGTTTCCGTTTGATGGGAAGCACTGGGGTATGAAAACACGCCAATTATGAAACGCAGGAATTGCCTTCTGAACTAATAGTCGAGAAACTAAAAATCGCATCAACAATTCGAGTCCCGAATGCCCGAATCAGTACCGCACGCAGGACCTTCGGCCAAAAAAAAAGGGTGCTGATGGCAAGGAGTAACATCGAGAAACAAGAAAACTATTTCATACTTGCATAACAGCCTACTCCATACGGAATTAGCAGTGATCGCAATCGCTTCCCATAGGCTTTGATATAGAACCAGAGTAGCGAGAATACTGGTGTTATTCAATTGAATTTCTAGTTAGATGTGGACTTACCAAGTGCTAATTAATAACTAGTTACTTTGTAACTACCAAAGATGCTTAGTTATGTTGACATTCTTAGTCAGGTCAGTTCAGAAAAGTGGCGGGTCGACATCATCAGGCAGCGGAAGCCACATGCCAATGCGTCATCGTCAGAACAATAATACCGTGCATAGTACGGGAGTACTACGATGTATACTCTATCTATCTCCAAGGAATAGATATCTCATGTTGCTTCATACAGAAGTAGTTTTTTATATTCCTCGGTTTATATTTCCCAGTATCAAAATCTTGACCACCAGACTACTGAGCGGCTATGTACTCCGTACTTCGTATTCGTACTTACTCAATACGTATTACCAGAACCCGGGAACAAACAACCCCACTCTTGCTCCATCTATTCCGTCGTCACGGCTGCCTCCGTACACAGCGCTTCCCATCCCAGGCAGTTATTATACAGCGCTCTTCGTCATCCTACCACAGTTTTATTTTTCTTCTGACCGCAGATTTCTCTTGCTTGAGATCAGGTTACCTTTCTCCTTTTGTCTGCCGCATATCGCGCCCAGATTCGACATTAGGCCAGTGACAACGTTTGGTTCTGAGAAAGAAAGGGAAAATGAATGTACTCAAACTTCAACGGTAGGTGTTTCCTTGCAAGGCTGCAGTCATTTTGTGTTAGATTCCGTACCTTGTGTGGTATACAACAGTGTCTGGGTGTCTTCTGACTGTTTTGTCCATGCAGAAAGTATCCACACTTTGATCAAAGCGAAATCTTCTCTTTTCAGGATGCATTTAGGAAGTTAGATCCCGATGATAAAGGCTATTTGGATGAGGCTACTGTTATCAAAGCTACCCAACAATCTGAGCGACAACCATATGATGTGGTGCGCCAAGCTCTAAAAGAGGTTGAGCTTGATAGCTCACGTCGGGTAGAGCTTGAAGACTATGTGGATGTTTGTATTCGATCCTCGTAACTTTTCAGGCAATAATGACTAAGTCTCTGGCGTCAGCTTATCTCCAAACTCCGCTCAGTTTCGTTACAGAGCAAACCGTCTGGTCCTACTCACGCTGCCCAAGGAAACGGAGCAGGCCCGTCTAAGCACGTTTCCAAGGGTAGTGTTGGTGGTAGAATTCAGGTCCAGGGTTCTTCCGCGAATGTCACACATACAATCAACGAAGATGAAAGAACCGAGTTCACAAGGCACATTAATGCCATCCTTGCTGGCGATCCAGATATTGGCCATCTTTTGCCGTTCCCAACAGACACCTTCGAAATGTTCGATGAATGCAAAGATGGATTGGTATTGGCGAAGTTGATCAACGATAGCGTTCCCGACACTATTGATGAGCGTGTCCTGAACAAGGCCGGGAAAAAGATCAAGCAACTTAATGCTTTTCACATGACTGAAAACAACAACATCGTTATCAACTCGGCCAAAGGTATTGGTTGTTCAGTTGTGAACATCGGAAGTGGCGATATCATCGAGGTTCGCGAACACCTTATTCTTGGCCTCATTTGGCAAATCATCCGCCGGGGTCTCTTGGGCAAGATCGACATCAAACTCCATCCAGAGTTGTATAGACTGCTGGAAGAAGACGAGACCCTGGAACAATTTTTACGTTTGCCTCCAGAGCAGATACTGCTTCGTTGGTTCAATTACCATCTGAAAAATGCCAAATGGGATAGAAGGTACCATTCATCTTTTTCTCTTTTTCTCTTTTCTCCCACTTCCCTCTTCCAACCTTCTTCTCCCTATGATATTGATTCTGTGTTCTAGGGTGACGAACTTCTCCACCGACGTGAAGGATGGCGAAAATTACACTGTTCTCCTCAACCAACTGGCGCCTGATCTTTGCTCGCGAGGGCCGCTCCAAGTTCAAGACCGGCTCCAACGGGCTGAGCAGGTTCTGACGAACGCTGACAAGTTAGGTTGCAGGAAGTTTTTGACTCCAACCTCGCTTGTTGCCGGGAATCCAAAACTCAATCTTGCATTCGTTGCAAACTTGTTCAATACCTGTCCAGGTCTTGATCCGATCACTGAAGAAGAAAAGCTTGAAGTTGAAGACTTTGATGCTGAAGGTGAAAGAGAGGCCAGGGTTTTCACTCTCTGGTTAAATTCTTTGGATGTTCAGCCAGCTGTGAATTCATTGTTTGACGATCTCCAGAACGGGACCGTCCTGCTGCAGGCATACGATAAAGTGATTCCCGGCAGTGTCAACTGGAGGCATGTGAATAAGCCACCTGCGTCTGGCGGAGACATGATGCGATTCAAAGCTGTCGAAAACACAAACTACGCTATCGAACTTGGAAAGCATATTGGCTTCTCCCTTGTCGGCGTTCAGGGTGCCGATATTACCGATGGCCAGCGAACACTGACTCTGGGACTGGTGTGGCAATTGATGCGAAAAGATATCACCAATACACTTTCGTCCTTGGCGCAACGGATGGGCAAACGTGAAATTACAGACACGGAAATGATTCGGTGGGCAAACGACATGTCTCGAAAGGGTGGCAAGGCATCAACCATCCGCAGTTTCAAGGATAAGTCTATTGGATCTGGTCTCTTCTTGCTTGATGTGCTGAGCGGCATGAAGAGCAGTTATGTTGATTATGATCTCGTAACTCCGGGCCGGACTGATGAGGAGGCATATGGAAATGCTAAACTGAGCATCAGCATTGCAAGAAAGCTGGGTGCCACCATCTGGCTGGTTCCTGAAGATATCTGTCAGGTCCGCTCTCGTCTGGTGACCACGTTCATTGGTAAGTTATTGTGGCTGTTGATGAATTGTGCATGGTTTGTCTATAAATGAATGCTAATATTTTATCAGGTTCTCTGATGGCTACCTACGAGAGCATGCAATGAATGGGCACTGTTCAATCGGGGTCTTTGATACATTTGACTGTTATCAACTTTCATTCTAGTAAAGTATAAAGTATTTGGTTCTTAGTGGTGAAAACTTGCTTCTTCAATATAAGGTGCTTTCTCCAATTGTTACCCTTGGGTCTCAAAAAGTAGTGAGGTAGAGAATATGCTCGACTACGCTGTATGGTAAATTCACCATCACTTGAGACTGGCTTTGATTGATTGAATAATAGGGCTATGATCTAACCAGATGTGACCATGAGCATCTGTCTTTCCTTCAAAGGTACTTAGATATCTAAAGGTGTTGGTTGAACCAAGCAACTGCCTGGCAAAATGCACTCTCCTTCGCAAATCTAGCATGGGATTTGTAAATGTCAGCACGCACAGCAAAACCATGTTCAACACCACTGAACAGATTGATTTGGTATGGTTGGCTGGTTCTTGCAAGGGTTTCCTCGGACTCATGACGCTTTGAGGCCGGGAAAATCGAATCCGTTTCTGTTTCCAGTTGATGAGTCACATCTGAGAATGAAGCGAACAATAACACTCACCAGCCGCTGCTATTGACAATGGCCCTTTAATGTCCTTCAATTCAACTGCCTCAACGAAGCTGGGATGGGCAACATAACCTACGTCTCCGAAGCCTGGCTTTAAGAAACGAACTGCGTATTTCGCCTAACAACCGTCAGATTACCGGCTCTTATGGGTGCGAATATATACCAGCTTGCATGGGACATACCCCAAAGCAATAACCCACAAGACCGATCCTCTGACACTGCAAGCTTCCTCTCATGTCGGTCAGAACTGAATGAACCACAGGATCAACTCTATTCGGCAAGTGTCCCGGGGGGTCTTTGAGCCATGCCATGAAGTTGAAATCCGCAGGCCGATTGAGCGGTATTGGGTCGCTGTGGAAGAGGTCAGGCATGACCACAAAAAAGCCATTTCTAGCAAGTTGATCCGCTATCAGTTGGGAGTTGACGAATTCATGTCCAATGACATCCGAGAGCACGAGAACAGCCCTACTTGTCGAGCGATTCGCTGGGTACGAGACGTAGGCCTCAACTAGCTCCTTGTTAACTTTGTCATACGACCAAAGAATAGCAGTTCTCTTTGAGTAGACCGGCCTAACAAGGGGTGATTTGAGGTCTGGGGGAGTGATACCATTTCCAATTTTCCTTATCTGTCCCCTAGGCTCACCGTCATGCTTCACCCCAATGACACAGCAAGGCCCCGGTGGATTTGACGTCATGTTTCACAATCAACTTGAAACACAAGGGCATAGGCACTCTGAGATGTGGGCGACGCCATGTATAAAAGGCAAGGGAACCAGCCAATAACTGATAACCAGTCAATGGGCTTACCGTACTCCGGAGTACATATCTCGGTTAAGTCGGCTAGCACCTCGGCATGGACGCAAAACATTCGGCGAGGTGCTCCGTTGAATTGAAAGGAAACCAGGCCTTATGCGGAGAGATGTGGGGTTATGTGGACGGGTAGTGGAGATATGGAAATGTAGGTACAATGTGAAGTGTCTAGTAATACTAGTATTTCCATACGTACTTTATACAAAATACCCCGTGCACGAATTGCATTGGGTAGCGTACTCTATAACAACATTATTGCAATGAACTTAGCACATAGTACAGTTGGCTCTATGAAGTACTACCCATCGATCGACGGAGCATGGGTAGTCCGAATATGTCCTTTGAAATACCTCATGTTAGTCTACACAAACCCTAGAAACCGGTGCTGCTTGTTATGCATCCCAGTTGTTAACAATTCCGGCTTCGCAATAGACGGTTGGAGCAAGGCAGTGCGGAACTAGGAACTGATGGGTTTATCGAAACCAAGCCTGTTCCGTTCATACAAGCGTACGTACATAAAGAATTACACGAAAAACTACAAATCGATTTCCGAAATGATGAGCACAAAGCTCAAGTCTCGATCGGTGGTACGGGACGAGGGGGAGGAGGGAGAGGTAAATGTGAATCGTTTTCTTATTAAGCTTGGGATTAGAACGGGCGACGGACCGTCGTTCATCGTGACGAAAGCAAGGACGGTAAGAATTGGCGGATTGAATGATCGCTCGATGTTCGTTCGGTATGTATTCGAGCTGCTGGCCAGGATAAATACCAACATCAAACGAAAACAAAGCTCCACGGTCACAAACCCATCACCGCCGCAGCCAAGAACGAGAAATCACAAGGGGGGAAAGCCACAAGAAAACAAGGTAACACAGAGACTAAAGGGGAGGGATGACAAGATACCGATGTAAAATGCCACACTGAAATCTGCAAAGGCCGTTTCCCTCCCGTTGAAACTCAAAAGGAATTTATTTCCATGAGTTGATAGGGGCGAACATCTGCAGATTTACAAAACGGGAAAACAAGGGAAAGGCTAAATCAGCATGATACCAAATGGACCTACTCGGCAGTATCAAGCTCATCATGAGCAGAAGGCAGGGGGTCTAATGGAACTATCACAGTGATCAACAATCATCTCATCTCCATTTAATTCAAAGAAAAGCTTACCTTTCCTGTCTTCGCCATTGGGTCCATTTTCTCGCTCCTCATCACGGCGTTCTCTTTCCTCATCACGCCTCTCTCTGTCATCTTTGATGTCACGCTCTCTCTCATCAGGGCTACGAGAGCGGTCACGGGAACGTTCACGATCACGGCGGTCATAATCGCGATCACGACGGTCGTAGTCACGATCACGACGCTCATAATCGCGGTCATGACGGTCATAGTCCCGCTCATACCTGTCATCCCTACGAGGGGAGTAGTCGCTACGACCACCACGACGCGGGGATGGCGAGCGACCACGGCGGGGAGGAGTGCGGTCACGTCGGCGGTCACGGCCTGAATCGAATCGCCAAGATGCAGATGGCGGCGTCCGAGCCCACTTCGGGTTGGTTAGATCGGCGCTGGTATATATAGAATAGGTATCACTTACTTCAATTTTCAGCAAGTCGTCGCGACCGATGCGCTTGTTATGCATCTCATGATATGCATCATCCGCGTCCCGACGACTTTCGTATTCCACAAAAGCAAAACTATTTCATATTAGGACAGATTCACATAATTGGACGTCGGTTATTGAACTCACAGCCGGCTCGAAGGGGTACGAGGCGCAGGAATGTCACATCGAACGAGGCGTCCGTACCTAAGTCACAGGTTAGAATGAGTGGTCTACTGCGAAAATATCATGAGACAAATCATAGTTGCAGATGGTTAAATTGCATATATCAGGATTTGGTAAATTCTCGAAGGAAAAGTCTCTCAAGAGGGCAAGGAGGCCGATGAATTTCTTTAACATGGAAAACCGCTTCGACGTCAAGGCAGCGAGGCTTGGTCGAGCTTATAGTTTCGTGTATGGATAGGATAGCCGTGGGATCTTGGTAGCGCGTAGCAATCGACGAGCGGCACGTACCGTTCGAATTCGTAGGCAAGGTCGCGAGCTCGAGTCCCATGCCCGAAGCCAGTGACATAGAGGGTGGTACCTGGCCGGGACATTGTTATTGATTTCAATTAGACAGTTCCGCGAAATTATGATATGTTGTGTGGAACTGAAATATGGCTCAGGTGAACGGAGTGTTGTGTACAAGTCCTTCACCGGTGAGAATGGGGCATTATCGTTCTGGCAGCCGGCAGAAGTAAAAAACTGAGTACGGATGAGCGGACATGCCATGAACGAACCAATCCTTACGCCCCTTTATTACATAATAACCTGGATAACTAACAGTTAGGTAACTAGTTAGTTAGTACTAGTTTTGATACAATAATACAAGTATTACATCTACTTTCCAAGTACAGTTTCTATATATCAACGGGTATCAGATTTCTGTAGGGAATTCAAAACAAAAATAGGATTACTATTGAATGCGCTGTGGCAGGCCATCAAAGTCTGGCCTAGTGAATTACTTATGCTCATTTTTGTGGTCTCAGCGATACACAGTAGTACATGGTCTTATTACCCGATAGTTTCCATAAACACTAGTTACTTAATTCGCCAATTAAATTCTGTCATGGAACTCGACTTTAAAGTAAGCACCTGCAATGGGAAGTTCCATGGCCGGGACAAAACTACAGGAGCAAGTTTTTTGGTGAATCATTATATTGCATTGCCTAAATCTTTGACAACCTCTCATGGAGGCTTGACGCGATATCAAGGAAAATCCGTTTCCAAAACGCCAGTTGAATCACCTAGTGACAGGTAGTGCACGGAAGTTACCAGCAGTTGGGCAGTACTACATCCATTAGATTCAATGAACTGCCCGTGAATATGAGCTTGAATCGCCAGCAAACAAATCGAGAGGGTGGCGTTGAGGGTTCAAAAAGGGAACCACTGTCTCAATTACAGTCTTCGTCGACATCGGCATCCGAGGTAATTACCTTTCTCAAGCCATCTTCTGGTTTCAACCCATGCTTTGAAAATACGGCCCAATACTCATCCTTTGCGGTCTCTAGTCAATTCGTTCCGAGAAAACGCCTTCCTTCAAAAAGGTCAGAAGTAAGATTGGTGAACCTGTTGTCGCGGCGTTTATAGCTGGGGGAGTAGCGGGAGCGGTTTCCAGAACAATAGTGTCACCACTCGAACGCTTAAAGATCTTGCTACAAATCCAAAGTGTCGGCAGGGAAGAATACAAGCTATCAATATGGAAGGCTCTCGTGAAGATGTGGCGAGAAGAAGGATGGAGGGGGTTTATGCGAGGCAATGGAACGAATTGTATTCGCATAGTCCCTTATTCTGCGGTGCAGTTTGGGAGTTATAATCTCTACAAGAAAGTGAGTCGTAGACCCATCAACGCTAGTGAAAAATGCGTGAACACCTGAGCTAAACTACTGCCCTCAGTATGCTGAGAATTCACCTGGTGCTGATTTGTCCCCCATACGTCGTCTTTTATGTGGTGGAGCAGCTGGAATAACGTCTGTCATCATCACATATCCTCTTGATATTGTTAGGACTCGACTGTCTATTCAGTCAGCCTCGTTTGCTGCTCTTGAAAAGCGGGGTGCAGATGAAAGGTTACCTGGCATGTTTCGCACTATGGCTTTGATGTACAAGAAGGAGGGCGGTATTCTTGCCCTGTATCGTGGTATTGTTCCAACCGTTGCGGGGGTGGCTCCATATGTGAGTGTGGACAGTTATGTTATATATATTTTTTCTTTTCTTTCTTTCCTTTTGCTGCGCGCCCCCTCCTTCCCCCTTCCCTCTCCTGCTTTGACGATATTTTGACTAACCAGTTCAAAGGTCGGGCTTAATTTCATGACATATGAGTCTGCCCGCAAATACTTGACGCCTGAAGGAGACATCAATCCTAGTTCTATCCGTAAGCTGCTGGCAGGCGCCATCTCAGGGGCAGTGGCGCAGACGTGCACATATCCATTGTAAGACGAGATGTTACCATCATATGTCTGATTTTCCCATTAATGTCTTAACAGTGATGTCCTACGGCGACGTTTTCAGATCAACACGATGTCTGGTATGGGCTACCAGTATAAGTCGATTTGGGATGCTGTCAGAGTCATCGTTGCTGAGGAAGGGATGCATGGTCTATTCAAAGGTATCGGGCCTAATTTGCTCAAGGTGGCACCGAGTATGGCAAGTAGTTGGCTTAGCTTCGAGGTTACACGGGATTTTCTTGCGAGCCTAGATGATACATAGATCTCCAGTGGAAGTGAGACTTTCGTTCTTTCTCTTCGCAATCATTATCGACAGTGACACCCTTAACTGGCAAGCCAAGGTTACTTTTAACCGAGTGTGTCCTATATGGTTTTAATTTGTATATGCTTCGATTGACTTAGTTTCTATTTTAACGCTAGACGGGTAGGTCTGGCCCCCACATGGCATACAAACATGGAGAGACAAGACGCGACAGAAAACACACATAGAATGAAAGTGATAAGAAATTTTTATTATGAGTAGAATTTTAGCGCGTTTGACTTTCACTTGGTGCAATGTCAGAAAGTAATTGGACCACAGCAGCTATGCACTAGAACTTCTGAGTACATACTCCATACTCTTCTACTCCACAACCATGTACATGATATGCAATGTAAGAATTGACATTTCCAGTCCGAAGGTGTCAATTTAAACCCGTCTTGATTCCTACAGTAACACGTAGCTGCTTTTCTTGTTCTTGTTCTTCTTCTTCTTCTTCTTCTTCTTCTTCTTCTTCTTCTTCTACTTATCGGTATGAAGAAGCATGTTTTATTTGGTAGAAAATTACAATATGGGAGAGAGACTCAACAAAGCTAGTTGAAACCCCGTAAAGACCCCCGCTGCAAAGATAAGACAGTGCTAGGGAAATATTAATTCCTGAGGCAGAAATTGATCAGCTCAAACTCTCTCCACCACACTGACGGAGTAAGCAAACCTTTCCAAATCAGTACTAGCGTAGGGCTCAACCCGCACACACCATCCATCTGAAAATTGTAGATCAAAAACCTCACCAGCTTCATTTTACGCGACTGCCAGCTAACTCGAAGGTGTCCTATCAATACCAGCAGCCATGGGTATGTTCTATACTGCGACTTACGAGAACCTTTTACCATTACTCTTGCTTTGCGATTTTCAAAGGAACAATGGCGCATTTTGCATGTCCGAAGAAAACTGACGGTAGCCTCCTATTATAGGTATCGACTTGGACCGTCACCATGTGCGCAGCACCCACCGCAAGGCGCCAAAGAGCGAGAATGTCTACTTGCAGGTTCTCGTGAAACTCTACCGGTTCCTCGCCCGTATGGATTTCCCCCAGAAGAACTCAGCCTGTTCGAACCGGTCATAAGGGTTAAAAGCTAACTCACTACGGCTTTAGGTCGCACGGACTCCAACTTCAACAAAGTCGTGCTCCGTCGTCTGTTTATGTCGAGGATCAACCGCCCTCCTGTTTCTCTCTCGCGTATCGTCTCGAACATCACTGAGTCTCACAAGGGAAAGACTGTCGTCATTATCGGATCTGTCACCGATGACAACCGCCTCCTGACAGTGCCCAAGCTGTCCATCGCTGCTCTTCGCTTCACTGCTACTGCTAGGGCTAGGATCGAGAAGGCCGGTGGTGAGACATTGACCTTGGATCAGCTGGCTCTTCGGGCGCCCACCGGAGCCAACACTCTTCTCCTCCGTGGACCCAAGAACTCTAGAGAGGCCGTGAAGCACTTTGGCTTTGGACCCCACACCAACAAGGTTAGCACTCCTTCCAGTCCCAATTTAACCAGGAGCAAGATACTAATTAAACGAAGAAACCGTATGTGCGAAGCAAGGGTCGGAAGTTCGAGAGGGCTCGTGGTCGGAGAAGGTCCAAGGGCTTCAAGGTCTGAATGCGGTGATAGGGTAGTAAACAAAAGTCTTTCGGGGCTAGTTGAATGTCATGTCACACTTGGGCAATTACTTTTTCTTTAATGCGTTAGAGATCACTAGCACTCAGCGCTCTAGCCAGTGTGGCTGCATTTCTGTTTTTGTCAAGGCGTCGGAAACGATATTATCCAGTTTAAAATGCTAAGAAACAAAAGATATTTCAATTGGTGCTAAATTTACAAAATTGATATGTATGCTATAGACTCAACTTTTCATGTTTCCACTTCTTACCACCCTCTCCCTCAGAATAGTCACCAGCTCCATGGCCGTTTCCGCGGATCAAATACTTATAGATTGTCAATCCGTCAAGTCCAACAGGCCCTCTAGTATGTATCTTGTTCGTACTGATGCCTACTTCAGTACCAAATCCGTATCTCATGCCATCTGCAAATCTCGTGGAAGCATTCCAGAAAACACCGGCACTGTCAACACCATTCATGAAACGCTCCGCAATTTCTTTCGATCCGGTTATGACAATGTCGGTGTGTTTGGATGAATGCATGTTGATATGCTCAATGGCCACCTCAACAGCTGAGTCGGGGGAATGCGCCGAAGAGATGGTTTTAACCGCCAAAGTGAGATCCAGGAATTCCGTATCATAATCAGAATCAGTCGCATTCAGCAGCAAATCCGTGTGTAAAGCAGGCGCCGATTCCGCCAAGGCGGCTCTAGACGGCATATCACAACGAAGCGACACTCCTCTAGATAAAAGAGCTTCCGCAACACGGGGGAACGTTGTTTTCAAGGCGTCCTCATGCACTAGTAAAGTTTCCAACGCGTTGCAAGCGGCCGGATAATCGGTCTTTGAATCCACAATGACTTTGACTGCGATGTCTGGGTTTGCATCGAAATGAAGATAGGCAGAGCAAAGTCCATCGGCATGACCGAGGACCGGAATCTTTGTGTTATCCTTGACATATCGAACAAGGTCATTGGAGCCTCGAGGAATGACCAGGTCAATCAGCGAATCCTGTGCGAGTAGAGAAGAGACCACATCTCGCGTCTTCACAAGTTGAACTGAAGATCGCGGAACTTGGGTATTTGAGATCGCCGTGGAAATGACCTCCGATATAGCCACGAAAGATTCAGTCGACTCTTTCCCTCCTAATATACACATCAGTAGCAGCAAGGGGAAGCGATTATCATGGGACTCTTACCTTTTAAGATCGCAGCATTTCCTGATTTAATAGACAAGGCGGCTATGTTTGCTATGACCTCAGGCCGCGCTTCAAATATTATCAACAACACCCCTATAGGGCAACTGACCCTCTCCAGTACGAGACCATCGTCTAAAAGAGTCTTCAAAGTCACTTTTCCCACTAGAATTCCCCATCAGTATAGTGCTATAAAAGTGAGGGCGTCGACGTACCTGGATCATCTAAATCTCGTACATTCAAGATACCCTGCAACATGTCGGCATACTTCCCCGGTCTCGATAAATCAAGTCTTTTGAGGACGCTTTGGTTCAAATTGCCATTTTCTGCAGCACGGCTCGCCGTTTCAACATCCCTTGCATTTGCTGCCAGAATTGAATCCCTGCTGTCTAAAAGAGCTTTGTGAAGTGCAGTCAATGCATCGTTGCGCGCGGCATTGGATAAGGTGGCAAGGTGACGAGATGCGAAGGATGCAGTCTTTGCGATATCAGCAGCGGATGACTCAGTGAGGGACATCTTTCCGAGAACTCGAACACACAAAGACTTGAAACGAAAAAGGGCAGAATATTTTTGAACAGGAGGAAGGATTTGTTGTTGGCACTGTACAAAGTACTCCAAGTAGGATAGCTACCGCTGTGTGCAAATTAGACGCCGCGAGCAGATATCTCAAGTGTGGGGACTAGTACTCCGGCGGGGTATTTTCGGGCGTATGATACCATAACCAAAGTCTTTGCTTTTCTAGATTTGTTTTCTTTGGGAGGCGGAGGAGACAATGATGGAATGGGAAATCAAATAGGCCTATGGAAAATTACAGTAACGCTTTGAAACTGTCAACCATCATTACCCTGCACGTTTTCTCATTTCTGGCATATCATCTACAACTGTACAATCATATTTGTTCTACTTCATGCACCACCTCATTTTCAATTTTCTAATTCCTTGTTGTCCTTTTACATAATTTTAAAATGGCAGAAGTTCTATCGCAGATCTGTTCACTATCATCACAGCTTCATCATTCAGATGAAATAGCTGACCAAGATTATGACAATCAAACACATGATCTTCTTGCACAGCTGAGACAGATAATCCCTACAGCTTCAGATATCAGATCTGGTGGTTTTTACTTTCTGGATGTAAGTAAAGTCTATCAGCATCAGACCTATCAAGAGTGAATTTGGCAGAGGGCTGATGGCTGTATTATTAGAATCTCAACCCATCACTTCACTCACTTCCGTACCTGCTCATATGGGGCTACCACGTCTGTTCCATTCGAAGTGAAACTGGTAATCCTTTCCCAGAAGATGTACGCCCTGGAGGGAAGTTATGGTCAAAGGCCGTACATTTCTTAACGGGGTTCGATCCCGTTCAAGTGAGATATGCTAGTAGTGAGTGGCGAGAACTTGTTGAACTGGTGGGACAAAGTGCGTTGGCGGTTTCGAAGGCAAGATCGACCCTACTCAACCAATGTGTATCCCTGCTAACTGACATTAAAGCCATTTCTGGCAATTCAACCGATCCGAGAAGCTATATTTCGTCTGGACTCATCATGTTCAGTTTTCACTTCAACTCATCTCTTACTTGTCAAGCTCTGTTTACACGCGCGAGCGTATAAACATGCTTTGCCTATCCTCAACAAACCAATATGCCACTTCCCCGCAGGGTCAGAGCAGGCTCAGCTAGAGAATCAGCAGCCTACCCTGCGAGCACGCCATGAATCTAGCGCACAAATCCTAAGAAACTCTTCTGGGCTTTCCGCGAAGATCACATACAGGGAGCACTTGGAATATTTCCTTAATGGTGCCATGATTTATATGGTCCTTAAGCAATGGAAGAAGGCACTCCATTTTCTCACCATAGTCATTTCATCTCCTGTCATCAACTCGGTCAGCATGGTCATGGTGGAGGCGTACAAAAAGTGGATTTTAGCAAGCTTGCTGGAGAACGGGAGGGTGAGTTTACAGTCGCTTGTCGAATTATATTTTCGAGGCTAATCTTATGTGACCAACTACAGCTAGTCCAGACCCCTGCTGTCATATCTTCTCACACAATAAAGATCTATCGATCTATAACGAAGCCTTACATCACACTGGCGGGGGCCTTCGAAAGTGGTGACTTTTCAAGACTGGGGGCTGAGGTGGATATTGCACGGCCCATTTGGCATATGGTAGGTTTGTGATTTGTCCGTATGGCATTGTTTTACTGACGGGTGTTCACAGGACGGTAATACCGGCCTTATTCTCCAAGTAGTGAGTGCCTTCGAGAAATTCAGATACCACAAGTTAGGAGGAACATTCGCAGCTCTCACGGTATCAGATGCAATGGAGCGGGCACCCAGCTGCTCTGTGCATTTGACGAACATCGAACAATTAATTGCGACACTCATCATGTCCAAGGCCTTGAACGCGACTTTGTCACATCCAAATGATCTCACGAAATCTACAATGCTTCGGTTCTCGGGCCTGGGATCAAGGGCTTCTGTATCGAAGGATTCAGTTACGCAATCGCAGTTAGTTGAAGGTGGTTGGTCATTAGCAAGTCTCATGACGCACGTTGAAGGAGGGGACTATGCTTTGGGAATGAGCAAAGAGTACATTGAAAATCTTCAGAAGAATCAGAAGCAAACCGGCGGTCCCCTGAAGGACAGCAAGAATGTGGGCAGTTTTTCTGGTGGCTTTGATATTGAAGAGGATATCATGGGGGGTCTGTGCTAAACGATAGATCTGCGCATGAACGGCGCCTATTCATGGTTCGGTGAATTTTTCTGACAAACTGATCTATAGTCAAGTTTGCACCACTATGTATGTGATAGCAGCAGCGGCTGAGGATGCATGGCGTTATTGTGAAGTGGTTGTACCCAAGCATACCACTCCCCGGCCACACTGATAGAATAATCACGCTTTGGTTTTACTGCTTATTTACGTACACAATATTTCTAATCTATCGTTTACAATAAGCCGCGCCTCCCGCGAGGGGCGTTCAATTAGTATTGATATTTTAAATAGTTCTTTTAAGGCTTTGGGGTTGTTCAACAGAGTTAAAGAACCATAAATAATTGCTAGATACTGCTACTATGAGGTTTCTTAGGGATACAGGGGTAGCAATGTGGGTATTATTCATTAGAACCTAATTGAGATTAGGGCCCCAGGCCCAGGCATACTTTATAGCAAGATTCACCTGACTTCCACTCCTATATCCTCACACTACTAGGCGTCACTTCAAAGACCAGCAATTAGTCTTTGTACATAGATCATATATCACCCTTAAATAACATCAGACTCCTTTCCTCCCTATCTATCAACTCTACTAGATACACCCAGCCCTCATCATGCAGCCATGCTATTCTACTCCAGTCTTATATTCATAGATATTATATAGTCTCTAGGTATTGTTAATTACTATGTCTAAAGAGTGGATTGATTTAATTAAATATAATTATTTAAATATTTTAAGATATTCTTTTTTATTCTCTAGGATATGCTAATGACCAGCTTTTCTATAATAGTGATAAGTTAGAGATCTTGCTTTTAATATCAAGTAACTAAATCAGTCATTTTCTTCAATAGCTTTTATTTTTCTAAATCTCTTATTTTAGAGTTTAAATATTATTAAAAAAGGTAATTATTATTATCCTTTAGTCAACTTAGATTCTCTAGACTAAGCTAGTAACCTAGATTTATAAACTTATTGTAAGTTTCTGACATTAAAAGCAGATTATATGTAAACGCAACTACCCGTAAGTTAATTCTGAAATAAATTATACCCATACTGTCTTTTTAATACGTATCTTTTGTTCTTACCTCAATATTACATTAATTTATATACTATTATGATAACTAGCTTAGCAAATGGCTTAAATTGGTGATATTTATTATAGTGACCTTTATAATTTCTAATTTCAAATCACCCATTCTGTGTCTACAAAGAATGTTGAGATATGATGGTTTAAAATATGGCATTTTGTATGGGGATATAGAGGCGCGCCTCTCGGTGATATGCGCCTTTCGGTGATAGGTTACGTTATTAACAGTTTGATGATGTCTTCCATTTTATAGAGCATTTTTCCAGTCTAAGACTATGCATGCTCTACCCACCCCCAAGGGGGTGGGATTTGTGTCTGATGGGGTTTATATACATGGGATTTGCTCTGTCACAGGTCACATGGGAAGTTCTCACTCTGAGATGGTCAAGGATGGGGGACAAGATGGGGTAGTGCCTATGAGGCCCTAGCTAGGGCATCAATTGCTGGCATATAGGTGGCTGGGAAGCCTTCTCAGGCCTGGAACATTGAAAAGGAATGTGAAGTCTATGATGCTGAGCTCTATGCTATTCAGCAGGCCATTCGACTAGCTCTAGATAGGGTTAGGGCTGAAAGTCAACCTCAGCTTCAGGAGGTATTGGTCTTCTCTGATAGTCAGGCAGCTCTTCAGAGGCTCCAGGGATATGTCAACAGCTCTGTTTCTTTACATAGTAGAGCTGATCCAGACCATCCTTCAAGACTTCACTATCCAAATCCACATCCACTGGGTACCTGACCACCAAGGCATGTATGGCAATGAAAAGGCAGATGAGGCAGCAAAGTATGGAGCTGAGTGGTGTGGTCCTATCCCTAGAGCCCCCTCTCATATAGCTTTCTGAGAAGGGAGCTGAAGCTGAGAACTCTGGAAGAATGGGAGAGAGAATGGACTTTTCTTCCTGTAGGCAGACACTACACCCAGTTTCAGACCAAGCCAACATGGAAACTAGCCTTTCTCAGACTCTCAAAGCTGGAATGGTCAACCATTCAACAGCTAAAGCTAGGGCATGGATACTTCAAATCCTATCTAGTCAGGCTACCAGACTATGATAGTGATGAATGCACTATATGCATGCAGGATCAAAGACAGACTCCATATATCTAATTCTGCAATGCTCAGCTTATCAAAATGAGAGGAAGGTGTCACAGGCTGCGCCTGTCGCATAAGCGATATGTCTAGTCAGGCGGAGAGGCTATCGGAGGAACTATTTACCCGCACTGCGCACACATGTATTTAGAGCCGCTCGATCGGGCATCCATCCGATATTTCTTCAACGAAATCTTTTGTGCCAAAGCTAGTCATTAGCATTTCCGGGCCTAGCCCTTAACAGAAGGCCTCTATCCACATCTTGCCCAAAAGAGATTAGTCTCTGTTTCACTTATTCACTTCAAAAACTGGACAACAGGTGCTCTTAAGCTTCTTAGAATACTTAAGAAACACTGGTATAGCTACTAGAAAGTGGCTGCTAGGCATTGAATTAAAAAAAAAAAAAAAAAAAAAAAAAAAAAGTTTTTGTTTGTTTTGAATTAACTCTGTTTTTTTATCCACTGTCTTTGTCACTCTTTGATTCACTGTTTTTGATTTATTTGCTAACCACTTTAACCCTCCTCCCCTCCTTTCTGGATTTCCACCGCTTGGCAGGCTTCCCAGCTACCTATATGTCAGCTGTTGATGCCCTCCCTAGCTAGGGCCTCATAGGCAATGCCCCATCTTGTCCCCCATCCTTGACCATCTCAGAGTGAGAACTTCCCATGTGACCTGTGATAGAGCAAATCCCATGTATATAAACCCCATCAGACACAAATCCCACCCCCAAGGCGGTGGGTAGAGCATGCATAGTCTTAGACTGGAAAAATGCTCTAATCCCTATAAAATGGAAGACATCATCATCAGGCTTGCTTGAGCACTCCACACCCCATTGAGTAATTTGAGTTAGTAATAGTGTATTACTTAGTATTCTTAGTGGAAGACTTTAAATTTATAGATGATGCTAGAGTTGCATTCAGTGCAGATTGGCACGGATGGAAGGTGCCCTCCATCCATGCCGCGCGGATTTTGAATGCTCAGGCTTGGATCCACAAAAGCCGCAAGATTCTGCACTATGCCGATTTAGGCATACACTAAACCAACTGCAGTTAAAGTCGGATTGGATTGGATTTGGATTCTCCAAAGTCCAAGCCACATTGTAATCTGTGACAAGCATACAACAGCATCATGCATCAAATAGAATTAAGATTCCATTACATTTATATCATCTTTACCAGTCTCATTCCACTATTGACCATCTCTGAAGCAAAAATAGCCATATCTTTATGTACATTCCAAATTTGCACAAACATTAATATTGACTCCGTAATGTCTACCCATATATATATATATAATACCCGGCATTCCATAGTATATGAGATCAACTAGTTAATTGACTGACAACATCCATATTCAATTGAAATTTATAACAAAGGCATCACATTGTATGTTAATTATTATATAATTCCAAGAAATTGGCAAACTGCCAGTTATTTACTAAATTACAGTAGCATATTGTAATTGGATCTTGTGGATAAATCCAATCCGCAAAATCTACTCTAGATGATGCTCTTAAGGACCAGGCCTATAAAAGTAAAAGATTCAATCTAAAAATCAAGAAAAATAAGAAAAGAAATACTTACTCCAATGAAGGGGGACTGTAGGCTCAATTGAGCTTAGAAGACTATCCATGACTTTCAACCCTCTATAGGCATGGGCTTAGGGAACTGCATGCTTAAGCTTATACTCTACTGTAAGCCTCTCCATTAATTCATTTATAAATAGAATAAGATAGATATATATCATTGGAAGTGACTAAGTAGAGCTTTCTATAGTTTATATATAATTATATATGGTCTACCTTCAACTTTTTGATCATCAGTACTGGTGAAGCATATAATATATTCTTAAAATGATAACTGCTTCTTTAGATTAACTTAGATGGAGTCCTAAGTTGCTTCTAGTTCTAATAATTATTAACATAAGGGGCTGTATCTAATAATAGTAGCTGGGCTTACATATTCTTTTATATAGATAACGTAATCCACGGGTGAGCGGTCCACACGAGCGAGCGGACCATTTTCACCGCAATCACTGAATATTGGAGCTTTTCAGACACCAACGCCAATTGAATATTAGACTATCTAGTAATTAAATATATAGTTATTTACTAGGACAACTTCTTATAGTATGTCCAATAGTCCCACAGCCACTGCAGCGTGCTGGAGCTCGCTGGCGAGGCCTAGATGCAGGCTCCTCAAGATGCGTATCAAGCTGCTGAATGCGATCACGACCTGCCTGTATAGATATAAAGAGATCACTCCCTAGAACAACACGCCTCCTTGCCTTTTTCTTCATTTTCCGCTTGTTTTCAGCCTGTAGAACCTTGATTTCTTCTTGAAGAAGAAGGTTTGTACTCATTGCCATCTGTGCGGCTTTTTCAAGATGCTGAATATGAGAAATTGGACTACTAGAAAGGGTCCTTTTCTTTTGAAGACTTCTCTGTAGGCTTTGAACCTTGCAATCAATCTGGCGAGGATTCTGAGGTGTTTGAAAAGCAGGTGATATTGAGCCTTCAATAAGTAGTGGTGGTGTGTTGGCATATGAAGTTGAAAGGTGATTTTCTCAAGAACCTGATCTTGATCAAGTGGTTTGAGATCAGATCCTGCAAAGCCATTGCATATATTCCTGGGGAGAAATACTGCTTTGAATGCAGAAGGATATAGGTATAGAAAATCCTCCTTATCAATGTGGTTGTTTCCAGCCACCATCATCCCCTCAACTAGTTTTCCATATGCGCGTTTAAGCGGCCCAAAAACACCAACATCCAGTGGCTGAAGAAGATGAGATGTATGTGGAGGCATACAAAGGCAGATAATTGCATTCTCTTTGCAGAAATGATCAAACTCTGCAGTTTGGTGGCTTGAATGGCCATCAAGAATAAGCAACTGCTTCACACCAGTTGATGTGGTTTAGAAGAAGGATTGAACACTTACTTCAGCCATTTAAGGCCTATTTCATCTGTTGTCCAGCCATTGGCACTATTGGTAAGCATCCAATCTTGAGGAAGATTAGACTCTTGATACCAAGGAGCCTGATGTTCTTTCCCTTTCAAGATAACCACTGGTGGTATGGCAATCCTCTTAGAGCTCACACATTCAATGATTGTGACCCATTCATGATTCCCTTGAATAGCTCTTCAAGGTCTTTCACTGCGCTCTACTGCAGTAATAACCTTAGATGTTGAACAGAGCCCCATTGCAAAGCCAGTTTCATCAAAATTCCAAATATCATCTTCATGTATACCATGTTCCTGAATAGCTTCGCGTACAGTCATAAACCATGGTTTAATAATATTTGGATCCTCCTGTTTTGCATGCTGGTATGTAATCCTCTGATTATATTGTGTATGTAGTTCTGGATGGCGTTTAATAAAGGTAGATGCCCAATTGACGCCAATAGTTGTAGTAGGATCTTGTGTATGCTCATGAAGCACGATCTGTGCTATTCCACACAGAAACTCCAGTCGAATTGAAAAGCCTCATTTATCTGCACCTAGCAGGTGCTTGGAAAGGACTTCTTCAATAACTGTTAATCTATGGTTATTGGCGCATGTTTCTGACTGTGGTTGAGTTCCTTTGAGCCGATTCAGAAAGGTGGTTTTAGACACAAAATACTGCTGCGGCCTTCAATTTTGAACAAATTTTTTGATTTTTATAAGCTTCAATGGCCATTTGCATTCGGGATTCTTGAGAAAGAGGCATTTTGAATGGTGGTAGTGAAAATATAACGTGTTGAAGAATGATTGTTAGAAGTTGATGTGAAAACGGTCCGCTCGCTCGTGTGGACCGCTCACCCGTGGATTACATTTTATGATGATTGATTGGATTTTTGCAGTAAGGGAAGTTGATTAGATTCTTTTTTAAAAATATATATAATTGAACTTATAGTACTGGAGTGACAGTTCTTTCTTAATGATATTTTCTTCCCCTTCTTGAAATAATGGTTGATAGCCTAATTCTAAAGTAGTTACTATTATTGATAGCTGAGGCTCCTGTCCTAGTCTCTTTAATTATATAACTATCTTGATTGATTGCAGATTAATCTAGAATATTTTTATATTTCTCACTTTATATTAGTGGAATGCTGCTGCTCTAATCATGATTACATCAATCTTTATAGCATTTTCTTTATATAATGATGGTTGCTTAGCTAGCTTTAGTTTCTTTTGTAATCTCTTATTTCTTTAGTCTTAGTCTACATTCTAGTGTCTCTCAGATTCCTTTATTAGATAATTATATATGTCCTTCTGATGTACTGATAATAATAGTCTTTAAAATCTATTTTATAATTATATCTTATGGTTAAGAGCAGTAGACACAGTATATCTAATTATGCTTAATGCCTTATTCCCTGTGCTTCTGTATTTCTTTAATTATATTAGTTTTCTTTAGCATTTATATAAACATTATTTCTCATCAATCTCTACCCAGTATTATATCACGTTTCTTAACATCTACTATTAAAAAAGGTAAGTTGGCAAGTTATTAATCTCTAACATTGAAGTATAATATTATATATATAGTTGATAGCTTTTCTTCTGTTTAATTAGGGGGTGTCTGTAGCAAGATGGGTGTGCCTGTATCATCTCCCTTTAATTATTATAAGCCTAAATTTAATAGTGGCACTGCAGGGGCATATATATAAGATAGCATATATTAATAGCTTAGAAGACACTTAGAAATGCATAAGCATTTACCTCAGTATTAACTAATGTTACAAAATATAGAATTCATTCTTTGCTACAGATACAGGGATAGTTAAACTGTATTTATCTTAATCTGATTCCTCTATCTCTAACTGAATTAACTGAGTTAATATATAATGTCTCTTCTAGAAAAGAGACTTTTTCTAGAGGTCCTCTTTTCTAAGTTATCTGTATATCTAGAATATAATAAAATATAGCAACTGATTTATTAACAGTTCTATTAATTAAGATGAAGAGAAATTATAGATCAGTATATAAGGAATTATACCTAATATTAAAGAGCAGAGAATCTCTATAACTATGACTTAGAACTGCTTGCAGTCTATTAATTTCTTAGTGACCCTAGCAGTATATCTTAATATATTTCTACTCTCTATTAGAAGACTCTACTATGGCCAGGGAATAAGGGGGATGGCGCAAAATGACATGCATGCCATTGAATGGATTTCCTATCTAACTACACCAAAATCCATGCTCATGCATTCTCAATGGCCAACATACTAAGTGGATTTGCAGCTGCTGGTCTTATTCCTTTTAAACCAGAGAGAGTGCTTGCAAAACTCCATATCAAAATGAAGACACCAACACCACCTTCCTCTCCAAGCAGCAATCAATCCTTTTATTTAGGAAGGACACCAGCCAATCTCTATCAGTTAAATCAGCAGAAAAGGCAGATGCAAGAGCTTCAAACACAGTCTGTATCCTCAGTGGCTGCAGAGCAGATACTTGAAAAAGTTATTAAGAGTGCAGAGATGGCAATACGGAATTTTATCCTTTTACAACAAGAAATCCATCAGCTTCGCACATCAAATAGGCATCAGAAAGAGAAGATGACACGAGCCTTTATCCAAGATGGAGGGAGTTTGACTGGTGATGAAGGGTTGCAAAGATTGAGAGATTTCCTTGAAATTATTATGGTTAGTATATATGAATTTTTTTAAATCATCACAGGTCTTTAAATATATATACTCAACCTTTATGTAGTAGGTCCTCGGCTTTTATACCTGTCCTTAATCACAAGATTTCTCAGATCCTTATATCTCTATTTGGTAGAGGTGTCTAGACTGCGGACTTAACCGCACTAGCATAAATCTCACTTAGCTATCCCATTCTGGATCATCATATGATCTTCATGCTGCGTCAACAGTTGATACAGACAAACAACATCAACACACCAAACAAAGACAACAGGGCATTAGCATAATCGCATAAATACCTATTAAACCCCTTTTGTCTTCTATATAGACTCCCTCTTCTCTTTTTTCCTCAGATTTGATGTTCTCGTTGATGGCTACACTAGTTTAGATAGGAATATTATTTCAGCAGTATCTAGATTCTAGTCTGAGCCTGTGACAAACAGTAACACTTCTTCATTTTGCCTCATTGTTAGATGAAATTTATAGATAACGTAATCCACAAGCGAGTGACGCACCCCCGCATTCCATATAAAATGGCACTTTTTATACCTTCAATATCTCAACCACCAAGTATATAGAAGGCTGGAAGTTGAAAGTATAGTATATTTCAGTGGTATATTTATACATAGTATATCAAGAACAGCATAAATTCTATATCTTCTCAAGATAAAATAAATTAAAACTGTATTTTTTGTATTCATAATAATTCTGGTATTAGTCTTGGGATAGAACATCTGAAAACTTATAAAACCAAGTATACTAGTCTAATCAGACTTTACTTTGCAGTTTATTTTGCAGTGTAGAAAGAATAATCGCATTATCTTTCCTTTCTTCTACTATACTAATAGATTAATTAGTTGAACAAGAGGGGAGGATGCTATTAGCAATATCTGCTTTAAAGGAATCCCAAATTCCTACTGTACAGCAAGCAGCACGCCATTTTCAGGTCCCTGAATCCACCCTCTGAACACACCTCCATGGTATAACATCACGGTCTGAAAAGCGCGCCAATGGGCATAGATTGACTGAAAATGGAGAGGAATCACTTCTACACTTTTGATACCCTCTATGGACCGACGTGGAGCAGCCCCCCGACCATCTCATGTTCAATATATGGCCAATATTCTCCTTTCACAGCATGGTCCTACCAATACTTAACCCATTGGCAAGAACTGGGTATCCAGTTTCATTAAACACCATGATGAAATCAAGACTAGCTACTCCCAATGCTATAACTACCAACATGCAAAATGTGAGGATCCAAAGATCATTAAGGAGTGGTTTAATCTGGTACAAAACACTATAATGCAACACGGGATTGCATCTGAAGATATCTACAACCTTGATGAGACTGGCTATGCAATGGGCCTAATTGCTACTGCAAAAGTAGTAATTAGAGCTGATATGCCTAGTAAACGTCAGGTTATACAGCCAGGGAACCAGGAATGGGTTACTTCTATTGAGTGTACTAACTCTATGGGATGGGCCTTACCACCATGCATCATCTTCAAAGGGGATGTCCACATTGAGGTCTGGTATCAAAATCCTAAACTGCCACACAATTTGAGGATTGAAGTTAGTCCAAATGGTTGGACTTACCATCTTTTGGTTTTAGATGGCCATGGTAGCCATCTAACTCCTGAATTTGATAAAACATGCAGTGAGAATGATATTATTCCTATTTGCATGCCACCTCATTCATCAAATTACTGTCAACCACTTGATATGGGCTGCTTTTCACCTTTGAAAAGTGCATATGGTGACCTGGTTCAAACACGGATGCAGCATGGCTACAACCATGTGGACAAACTTGACTTTCTTGAGGCCTATCCAGAGGCTCAAAAGAAGGCCTTTACTATAAACAATATCAAGAATGGATCACCTCATAATTTGAAGCAATTACAAAAGCAGGAAGCTACAATCAAAAGGCTGTTAAGGGAGCGTGCATGCAGTCCTTCAACCCCTACTAAAGCTGCATTAAAGCAGCTTTTCAAGGGGTGTGAAATGGTCATGAATAGCGCCATTTTTTTTGCCCATGAAAATAAGGAACTGCAGGCTTTAAATGAAAAGCAAATTCAAAAAAGGAAGCAGTCTAGGAAGCAGATAGCCACTGAAGAAGGCCTTTCTATCCAAGAAGGCCAGGACCTCTTACAGGGCAGGAACCAGAGGGGAAAAGTAATACCTAGTACATCTATAGAACTGGCACTGTTGATAGAATACCACTCTGTACAGGCGCCAACACGTTGCAGCAATTGCAATATTATAGGGCATAAAAGGAATCAATGTCCTGATTGCAATAGTAACTAGTTTTTACATAGAAATACATTTTGTTGATGTTAAAAAGACTCCTACATTTCAACTGTGGTTGGATGTGCGCAGCTCGGTCAGGAATTACATTAATTATAGATTAATATGTAAGATTGCTTTTAGTATAGTAAGTTCTCAGAAATATTATTCTTTAAATATATGAGAAGACTAGAAAAATAGTCATTTCTCTGTAAATATCTCTATTAGCCTTTTTTTAAAAATATTAATTATACTCTTATTTTCTTAATCTAATGGTAATTTCATATGCTCTAAAATTAGTATCAAAGCTAACAGTCTAATTATTGATGGCTAAGAATTATATTATGTTCTAAATATCTACTATCTTAATAATATAGCTATTAGAATTTATTAATCCACCAGTATCTTTTATAATTATACTCTATATATAAATTAGGGGCCATTAATAGCTCACATCTACTAAAGTTATTATATAAGTTAGAGATTGTTTTAATGTAATCCACAGCTGAGCTGACCATTTTCTCCGCAACTTCCAACAATCATTCTTCAACGCGTCATATTTTCACCATCACCATATAAAATGTCTCTTTCTCAGGAAGCCCAAATGCAAATGGCTATTGAAGCTTATAAAAAGAAAAAAAATCCGACCAAAATCGCGCGCTGCTGCAGTATTTGGTGTGCCTAAAGCTACCTTGCTCAACCGGCTTAGAGGAATTCAACCATGGTCAGAAACACATGCTAATGGCCATAAATTAACAATTTTTGAAGAAAAAGTCCTAGCTAAGCGTCTACTAGATGCAGATAAATGAGGGGTTTCAATTAGACCTGAGTTTCTGCATGGAATGGCACAAATCTTACTTTCTGAGTGTACATGGGATCCTTCAACTATTGGAGTCAACTGGGGATACAACTTTGTTCAATGCCATCCAGAGCTTCA